CATTCGAATCAGCTGATATTGACCTTCATGCAATCGATTCCTCGATGACATGATCTTGGGAGCTTTCAAGTTCCTGCAATTCTTCTTCCAAATTTTGGTGTAAACAAGTATAAATCTCTGTGTCTCATGTGCTACTATCTGATTCCATCTACGTGATCAAGTTGCTAGATATTGCCGGAGAAAAACAATCCAACAATATGAGGGCACACCGGCGGTCAAGAGTGCCATGTTGTACATTCTGAATAATAAATTGACAAGTTTCAAGATGAAAGATGATAAGAGCATTCTAGAGATGTTCCATATGTTGCAAGTGATTGTCAATGATCTCAAGGCTTTGGGTGAGAAAGTGCAAGATGATGATTTCTCCCACTGGTTCTTGATGTGCTTACGTCCTAGGTTTGAGACTTTGAGATTGATTATCATAAGAGGAGGATTAAAGGACATAACCCCTAACCAAGTACTAGGTGATGTCATGACACAAGAGATATACCGTGTGGAAAGAGAGATAGTTGATCAAGATGAGCGTGGAGGGTCCTTAACGACCATATTCGACCACCAATTAAGATCCAAAATCAGGAGAAATAAACAAACTTTTGACACATACACATTTACTATTAACAAAGTTCCACTTGTATTGGAAGAATCACATTTTGCAGGATATACATCGACAAAAGGCACAACTCGAAAGGTGTAAAGCAAAAATGCACAAAGGAAATAAATGGAGAAGCCCACCTTCATGCCTCATCTGGGCCGAGCACCGATGTGGGAGGAGCCCAGGCCCATCCACCAGCCCACCTAGCAAAGGCGGTGGCCAGTGAGCCAGCCAGGGTGCAGTCACACCCTGGGTACGTCCGCACTGCAGGTGGCATGGCTCGGGCCCAGCCTCCTCCGAAGCATGGGTGGAGCTCTCCTTCAACACACACCTCATTTGAGCTCTACACCTCCATCTCCACTTGTACTCTTTTTACTTTTTAGTAATATTTGTGAGCAAGGCAAGAGCTATCAAGGAGAGCTTGGCTCCTTGGAAGAAAGGATCTTTGGTATGAATACTATGAAGAAATCTTCCAAAGTCTTGCTCTTATTTTATCCATATATTAGTGCTATTGAATTAGATTATAGTTTTCATGTTATAATCATGACATATGAACTAGCATATATAGTTTCTATGCTATGATCTTAACAAGCAAAACTTTATGATTAAATATTCATATAACTTGTATGACTACAAGTAGAGCTGAGTTGAGGTGGCGGTTCGTCATTCCTTCGGGTTTGCCCATGTCCTATGCTTGTCGATCCATAGGGTCAGAATCCCAGGGGGGATGTGTTTAGTTTCCTTATACACGGGCATGGTGCCCAGGTACACGAGAGCCTTCGGATATGACGGTACTCCACGATTGAGGGGTACATGGTAGGTGGTGATATCCTTGTCCGTCCTTTGTAATCCCCCACATTCAGGTATTGTGTAGAGTCTTAAAGTCTCTGTGGTTTGCTGGCAGACCAGTGCCCGGAGATCTCCCCGTCCATCTTAGACTTAGTTCTAGCTCTAACCATGTAATTTCCATGATCATCAACTATTCTTTGCACAACTATATTAGAACATGCCTGCTCCACTTAGGAACATTCTTTCATTCTTTGTTTTTCTTTTATCATTGAGGTTGGCCCAGAAGTGTGTCCATTATCCTGAAAATATCATTTTTACCCCTGTCATGAACTTTGGTTCACTATGCAAGTATGTAATCTTGTTCATATCCATGCTAGACTCTTACACCATGTCTTCCTTTGGGAAAATATAAATAACAATACCCTGAATACTTTTGGGTGAAATGCTACAACGATAGATCCGTGCACTTACGGATATTTTCTGTAATCGTTAAGAACTATCATGTTGGTGTTCCTTGGCGGCATTGCTAAGATTTATCCAAATCTTAGTGATGGTGCTAAGAAATATCAACAGGCATTTCTAGTGTCATTGCCAGGAATGGATTCCATCTCTATACTTGGTGATTGCGCTAAGAAATGCCAACAATGAGAAGAAGGATGATGACAAGAATAAAAAGAGTATGGCATTCAAGGCTAGCGCATCATCCAAGAGCAAGTCAAAGAAAGAAGAATCAAGTGATGATGAAGAAGCTAGTGACTTTGACATGGAATCCATAGCTCTATTTGTGAAGAACTTTGGCAAGTTCATGAAGAAGAAGGGCTACAAGGCAACAAAGAGAAGGGACAATTACAAGAACAAAGATCAAGTGAGAAGGTGCTATAGATGCAAGAGCAAGGATCATATCTTGATGGATTGTCCATACAATAGTGACAATGAAGAGGATGAGAAGAAGAAAGAAAAGGAGAAGAAGGAAAAGAAGGAGAAGAAGATGACCTTCAAGAAGAAGAAGGGTGGCTCTTATGTGGTGACTTGGGAAAGTGATGCTTCTTCAGATAGTGATAATTCTAGTGATGATGAGAAGACATCCAAGAAGAAAGCACTTGCAAGTATCGCCATCAACAACAAGCCTTCTCTCTTCGACACTCCATTGTGCTTCATGGCTAAGTCCTCTAAGGTAAAATATAATGAAAGCGATGGTGATGATTGTGCAAGTGATGATTGTAGGAGTGATGATGATGATGAGGAGTACTCAAAGGAGGTCCTCATGGACATGATGGAACAAGCTCATGAGTGTCTTGAGCTAAAGAGGAAGGAGTGCAAAGATTTGTGCAAGAAATGCAAATCTCTTGAGCAAGCCTTTGATGAGCTAAATGCTACTCATGAGAGGCTAATGGAAGCCCATGAGAAGCTTGGCAAAGCTCCCTCAAAGCTTGAAAAATCTCACTCCTCTCTCCTAGAGCAAGGCAAGAATGAAGTTGTTGTATCATGTGACGTAGGCTTGACTTGTGATATTCTTAATGAATCTTTCTACAAGCCTATTGTTTTGCTCCTACTAACCTTTCTTGTAGCACTTCCACTTCTACCTCATCTACTAGTGATGGTTTCACTTGTGATGCCTCACTAATGGTTGAGAATGAGACCCTCAAGAAGGAGGTCAATGAGCTCACTCGTGCCTTAGGTAATACCTATGGTGGCGAGGCCCGCTTGCTAAAGTGTTTGGGTAGCCAAAGGTTTTCTCTCAACAAAGAGGGATTAGGCTATACCCCCAAGAAAGGCAAGATAGCCTTTGCTCCTCACAAGACTAGTTTTGTGAAGAACAATGGTCGGTTTTACAATAGATGCAAGCAAGTTGGGCACCTAGAGCAATATTGCAAGAACAAGAACAAGAACAAACCAACCAATGTATCCTCAATTAAGTTTGATTCTTGTTATTTGCTTACCAAGGGTGTGCATGCTAAGTTCATTGGTACTCCAATTGTGGGCTCAAAGAGAAAAGTCATTTGGGTGGCAAAGACCTTAGTCACTAACCTTCAAGGACCCAAGCAAGTTTGGATACCTAAAAAGAATTGATCTTCTTTTGTAGGTTAATTACAAAGCTAGAGAAAGGCATTGACTGCTTGATAGTGGGTGCACACAACACATGACTAGTGATTCAAGAATGTTCAATTCAATCAACACCAATGATTGCAATGGTTATAATATTATCACATTTGGTGACAATGGCAAAGGCAAGGTCAAAGGGCTTGGTAAGATCACAATATCCAATGACTTGAGCATTTTCAATGTGCTACTAGTACAGAGCTTGAACTTCAACTTATTATCGGTAGCTCAATTATGTGATCTTGGCTTCAAGTGCATATTTGATGTGGATGATGTGGAGATCATAAGTGTAGATGGCTCTAACTTGATATTCAAATGATTTAGATATGAGAATCTATAGTTGGTTGTTTTCAATGCTAGTGAAACACAATTGTCAACATGTTTGATCACTAATTCTAGCATGGGTTGGTTATAGCATAGAAGGCTTGGTCATGTTGGAATAAAACAATTGAATAGATTGATTAAGAATGATCTAGTAAGGGGCTTGAAAGATGTCACATTTGAGAAAGATAAGTTGTGTATTGCATGTCAAGCAGGAAAGCAAGTTGGCAATACACATCCTAAGAAGAGCATCATGAGTACATCTAAGGCATTTGAGTTATTGCACATGGATTTATTTGGGCCAACAACATATGCTAGCATTGGTGGAAACAAATATAGATTTGTGATAGTGGATGATCTTACAAGATATACATGGGTGTTATTTCTTGTTGATAAGAGTGATGTGTTTGATACATTCAAGACATTCATCAAAAGAATACACAATGAGTTTGAAACAACCATCGAGAAAGTAAGAAGTGACAATGGTAGTGAGTTCAATAATACTAGAATTGATAAGTTGTGTGATGAGTTTGGTATTAAACATCAATTCTCGGCCAAGTACACTCCACAATCAAATGACGACCTTGTTAATGCATCTTAGAGTATTCCTTTGTCTCCAATATATTCTTCTAGAAGAAACTGGTATTTTCAACTCCTAAGTTGACCCATCTGACAGTATTTCTTTGTCTCCAATATATTCTTGTAGACTCCAAGAGAGAGGAGAGGTGGGTTTTAACCAGGGCTCTCTGAAGGAAGTTTCCAAAGGGGACAAGGGTCTTTGATCTTTCCAATCCATCCAAAAAAAGAAGTGCACAAAAGGGGTGACAGGGGTGTGAGCGCGACAGGGAAAAACCAGGCGACGGGAGCGGATACGGAGTTGCTATCGACTACGGAAAGTTAGGTGATGGGGGAGAGATATACCAACTTCTTACTTTTAATGCTTATTTGTTTTACAAAACCCATGGAATTATTTTCTCTTTTTGCCAAAAAAACAAAATAGAGGGTGAGTTCATTTACGAGGCCCCTGATGTTTCTCTAAATAAAACAAACCAACTACATACATTGGAGTTTCTCTAAGTAAAACAAACCAACTACGTACATTGGTGATGGGCATAGAAACATCCACCCTTATTATGAAATGAAAGATAAAACGATCGACCATGAACGTCAAGGTGCAACTAGCTAGCCACACCCATAACTATGCAACAGTGGAGTGTACATATGGGATGGCTCTCAAATGCAGGTCCAACTTTTTGGTGATCCCCATCCCGTTTTGCTCAGACATGTCCACCATCTCTGGAGTCGTTCCATCAGGAAGAGCCCAGTCAAAGTGGTACAGAAGGTTTGCCAATGCAATCTCCAGAGTGGACGTGGCAAACATGATTGCAGGGCAACGCCGACGGCCAGCGCCGAAGGGCGTGAACTCGAAATCTGTCCCTTTGTAGTCGACATTGCTGTTCTCAAACCTCTCCGGGCTAAAATCTTCAGGGTCTTTCCAGTACCTGGCATCCCTGGAGATCGCAAACGCGTTCACGAGCACCTTGGTGCCTCTGGGAATGTGATAGCCCATGACCTCGCAATCCTCTCTCGACTCACGGGGGACGAGCAGAGAGTTTGGAGGATGCAGCCTAAGAACCTCCTTGATAACCATTTGTAGGTAGCTGAGCCCAACGAGGTCAGTATTTGTGATGACACCTCGTCGTGATTGACCTAGCACGCTGCAAACCTCCTGTTGTGCCTTCTTCATCGTCTCTGGCTTCTTTATCAGCTCCGACATTGCCCACTCCAGAGTGGATCCTAGGGTTGTAGTGGCACCTCCGAATATATCCTGACAAAAGTAATAATTTATGTGTTATTACATGTACTCTATAAAGATACATGAAAATAGTACCCCATCATAAAACAAATTCAATTCTAGTTCTAGTGGTCAAAGTCAAACTATCTTAGTTTTGGCTATACTTGTACTTCCTATGCCCCAAATTATAAGACGTTTTGACGTTTCTAGATTCTAGCTCTTATAATTTGGATCGAAGGGAGTAGCTAAATAAATATATGCTACAAAAGCATGTTTCATGACGAAATTGTTTGTACTTATTTAATTTCATAGATATTAATATCTTTTTATATAAATTTAATCAACTTAAAATTATTTCACTTAGCACTGTTATTCTAAAATGGTATCTTTCATTTGGGACGGAGGGAGTATTTAATATGAACAGATAAATTAAATAAGTCCAAAGAGCTAGAAAGTAGAAACAAAAGTAACGATACTCACAAACATGACAGCGCCTATAATCTCGGAGGTCAGAGGGAAAGCAAGTGAGCCCTCCTTCTGCAGCCTGAGCAGCACGCCCAGCAGATCCTCGTGGTCGAGGCTGGCGCTGGTGTTGGCAGCTTTGCGGCTCTCGATGATGGTCGCGATGATCCGCTGGATGCCGCCGTAGCTCCTCAGCAGGCGGCGCTCGCCGATGCTGAGCCACCGCACCAGCCTCGACGACGGGAACAGGTCCACCAGGAAGAACCCCGACACCACTTCGCTGACCTCGTTGTACCGGCGAATGAAGTCGGACTTCTCGGCGCAGTTGCCACCGAACATGGCCCTCGCCACGAGGTCCGGCGCGAGCGCCTTCACCTCGTCGCTGACGTTGACGACGCCGGCGGCGGCGGCGACAGATTGGAGGAGGCGGCCCACCTCGTCGGCCATGATGGACTCGATGTGCTTCACCTGCGCGGCGCTCAGAAGCTCCACGACGACGATCTTCTTCATCTGGATCAAGCGGTCGCCGTAGGGGGCGAAGCCAAGCCCCTTGCCTTTGCAGCCGACGATGTCGATGGTGACGCTGGTCGTCGGCCGGGAGCAGAAGGCGAGGTCGTGGGTCTTCATCACCAGCTCCGCCGCCTCGGCGCTGGACACCACCAGCGTCGGGACCTCGCCGAGCCTGAGGAACATGACCGGGCCGTGCCGGCGGGACAGCTCCATCATCGTGCGGTGTCCGAGGCCGCGCACCACGTGGTGGATGCTGCCGATGATCGGAAGGGTCCATGGCCCAGGCGGCAGTCGCTTCCCGTGCTTGCTCTTGTCGCCGGCTCCGGGCTTATGGAACCAAAGGAGGACAACTACTACGGCCAGGGTAACGGCATATAAGGTGATTATGAGAAGCTCCATTTGCAAATATTGGAATGGAACTCAAGCGTTAACTAACATGCTGGATCAATAAAAGTACCTAAATGTTCCGGATGGACAGCTCAATCATTGGGCCAAATACACACTCCAAGTCTCTCCTGACACCAACAGAATGGCTGCATCAGTGTCTCAAAATTAAAAATGTGTCAATATTAATTAAGACCCTGTTTTTTTTCTTGCTAAAAAACTCAAAAGAGTGTTTTCGCATCTTGATATATCTTAAGGAAAACAAAGGTTAGTACAAACGATGAACAAAAAGACACAAACCGACATCTAAAATGTATGAGTACATCAAAGACCAAATTATATTGGTGGTTTTCTTCTTTCGGACATCCACCACCTGCCGGAGTTTGCAACGACAGTGAAGAAAAGGGCCACTTGTAAACACCCTCGCCAACACATGGCTTTGAAGACCGCAAAATCCACTTGCTGCTAACAACGAGATCTAGTATCCACTGAAAAAACATCGGCTGGAGGAATCCTTCGAAGAACACAGACTTGAAATCCTTCACCATCAAAATAGAGTGTTGAAAATTCTGAACCTTGCGGTAGAACAAACCAAAAGAAGCCAAGATTGCCGCATCAAAAGCCAACCAACTAATTCCTCTGAAAAACACACCATCTGCCAAGATTTGAAGAAGATCAACATATCTTACAGGCCAAAGTCTCGCTGATCCTTCGCCGACGCTAGATCAAACGTCGTTGAGGTAGGGAGAGTCGGAGATACCTTATTCTAAAGTACCATCGTCGCCACCACCTCATCAATGACACCGGAGCCGAACCCTAGATCAGTAAGGATTCACAAACCTCATCTAAAACTATGAAGGAAAAAGGGATCGGGTCCCCGCTCCTCTGTCCAACGGCAAGATAGCCGGTTAGGAGAGAGGAGGGGGACCGAGCAGGTTTCTTGGGAGAGAGCGGCTCCGGTGGTAGTTGGAAGAGGGCGGCGCATGGACCCCGATTGGTAACTAAGACCCTGTTTGCTATGGAGGATATTGCCGCGAAATTACACTAGTGTGTTCTTATTATTTAGTTACTCCCTCCGTCCATAAAAGAATGCAATTATGGCATCCGTGTCCGGTCAAGCTAGCTCGAGTTTGACCACGTTTATACCAAATAGTATTAGTATTTATGTCTCTGGAGAAATTTATTATGAAAATATATTCTATAACTAATTTAATAGTACTTATTTTGTATCATAAATATTAGTATTTTTTATATATCTTTGGTCAAAGATTAAACTGTTTGACTTCTCTGAAAACGAGAATCACATTCTTTTGTGTTTTTTGTGGACGGAGGGAGCATTCTTTTGTGTTTTGTGTGGACGGAGAGGGAGTATTGATGACTATGGTCCAAAAGATCAAGATCGTGCATGTCACTGCAAAAATGGGCCAAATTATTTTTAATGGTATACACACACTTGGGCCAAATAATTCGGCAATTCAGTCACGTTCTTATCCTGTACCCTGCATGCTTGACATCATCCCTGTACCCTGCAATTCTGTCTGCACAGAAGAACGCCAGAATCTCAAAGATAAAGAAATGTATTTTGGCAGCATTATTGACACAATCTACATAAAAAAACAAAAAAAAAAAAATAGGACACACATCATCCAGTTATAGAATGTATGCATTTCAGAGAATCTTTACTGAACGAAAACCACTAACTTATTATGATGCATTGCATAGTCATATACATCATCCAGTTATTAGCAAGTGGAGTCGACACTTGATGTCAAAAATGGAATCATTCAGATCTATCGTTACATACATCATATACAACATGAATAATACAATTAATGTTACAAATATGGATATGAAAAAGAAAAGAAACTATTTTACAAATATGGATATGAAAAGGAAAAGAAACTATTTTTTCTTTATTCAATCAAAAGTAAACTGCTTCACCAACCATTTCTTCACTACCTGTAAGTTCAACAAAGTAACGATTGAGCAAAGATATATATTTAAAAAGACAACAAAACAAGTACTAGTGTTTCAAAGTAATTTAAGACCCTGATAGGTACCACCCTATCTAAGTGTGGGGTACGACCTCGGATACCCACGACAGACTACATGGGCTACGTCCCCAGAGGTGGTCCAGCCCACAAGACGAAGCCTTGCAGAGCACGGCGCTGTTCGGCACGCCCCGCAAGACACCGGGAAGATATCCTGAAGATACTACAAGATCTGTTAGGATACGTTTGATCCCATGATTCCTGTAATTTGTTATACTTTTCGGTTATCTCTTAGATCTAACCAACTTGTAACCCTGCCTCCTAGACTATATAAGGCGGGCAGGGATCCCCTCAAAACACAGACAATATCATACGAAGCCAATACAATCCAACAGACCACAGGAGTAGGGTATTACGTCGCGCTGATGGCCCGAACCTGTCTAACTCTTATGTCTCTGTGGCCTTCTTGTTCTCGATTACACATATCTCTGCTGATCAATCTACCTTCGTGTGATACCCCTCGGAGGACTGCCGATGATATTCTGTCGACAGTTGCACACCATGTAGGGGTGTACGTGTTGTTTCCATGTCAAACAAGATGGTACATTTTGCAAGCTCTTTGTCCCTCCCACAGCCCAGCCAGATCTTTATGGTCGGATCGATCTCCTGGGTCATCAACGTTGACGGAGACGGAGAGCTCATCGAGCCGGTGCAGGTCGATTCTGCGCCGACCACCCCAGCACCTGCGATAGCAGATCCGATCTCGGAACCACCTCCGAGATCATCTTCACCAACAACCCGCCGCCTGCTCCCCCGCTACTTGAGGAAGCAGATCAACAACGATGATATGATCACGTCCATCGATTAGGTTGGCCAGAAGCTCGCCGATTGCCTCTCCATCGCAGAATCGGCTCTGACCACTCTGGTTCAGCATCGACCACCCTCCGATTTAGATCTATCGGAGGCTGATTAGGAAACTACAGGGGTTATGGCCCTACCCTTTGGGCTCACCAACGTCGCCGCCATCTATCAAGATGCCCTAAGGGGCAAATTCGCTGACAAGGCGGGAGACATCTATCCTCTCGCCGACCAGATCGCCGACCAGCTCTCGCCGGCTATCAACATGCTACAGATTGGCCGATGCCCCGAATTATCCCTTCAAACCATCCTGGAGGAAAATCTAGACTCCGAGTCCTAGGGCTCTATGGAGACTGTCGCCGAAACCAACGTCGTAGAACCTCCTTTCCCACCTTTCCGTGGAGGCAGAATTTTCAATGTCAGCATCAATAGTCCCCCATGGAACGGGGAAACCGACGAGGATCGCACCGCTCGTGTCAACAGGAAAGCCAACCGTGCGTAGCGCCGAGCAAACGAGGCCACCATTGTGCTAGCCAAGGCTGCTCGCAATGAACAGCTCGACTCGCAAGGGAGGCCACGCCCACTCCAACTCAACCTCGACGACAAATTTGTCCGTGTTGACGGCCACGACGTCTACAAGACCCCAAGCGCCAACTTGGTCGTGGCTGCTAATGAGCTCGCCTGGCTCGACCAAACACCAGAGGTCGCCAAGGTCACCGCCATGCTCAAAGCGGCGCACTGCTAGGTCAACGAGATCCGCTAGGATCAGAGACCTTCCTACTCAACAAGGTCGATTCGTTGATCCGCCACGCCAAGATCTAATCGCCGCCCCAGCAGAAGTCGTTTCGTCGACTAGCATCGTGATGATGGACAACCCCTCTAGGGGGGAGCTAGGGGGAACCGCATCGACTATCCTCGCCAACACGACCAAGAAGTCAACCAAGACGTCCAAGTGCACATGAACAATCTCCTAGACGCACGACGTCATATCGACGGGCACCGTTTCTCTCGCCATGAAGAAGAAGTACACCGGCGTCATGAATACGAGCAAGAGTTTGGTAATCTGGACATAGCCCTCCAGCCACTCAATGTTGGTAACACCACCGATCACGATGGTGACGATTCCGAAGGCCCCCGAGCATTCACAAGAGCACTTCGAACACTCCAGTGGCCCCGTGGTTTCAAAATCACTAGGGTCCAGCACTACGGGGGACGGATGAACCCCACACAATGTCTACAAGCTTATGCCACTGCTGTGCGCACCGTCGGGAAGATACCAGCATCATGGCGAACTATCTTCCCTTCATACTCACGCCAGCTACGATGAACTGGTTCACAAGCCCCACCCCGGACTCCATCAAATCCTGGGAAGAGCTGAAGAAGGTCTTCACCGACATCTACATGGCTACATGTACTTGGTTGGGCACCAAGCATGATCCGAATCGCATCTACCAGAAACCATCCGAGCTCCTCCGAAGCTATATCAGACGTTTTTTGAGATGAGGAATTCTATTCCCAACATCACAGAAGTGGAAGTCATTACCGCCTTCATCCGAGGAATCCATCACCGCGACCTCCGCTCCATGTTCAATTGCAAGCTGCCAAAGGGGATTAGTGAGATGATTATGACCGCCGATCAGTACGCTGATGCCGAAAAGGCTAAAGTACGCATCAACGAGGATGTGGGCACTCATCGCCCAACTCGCCGTAGCGACGAGCGACCCGGTGACCGCCGCCACAGTGACCACCGCTACGACGACCGCAGTCACCATCAGGATAGTGGCCATGATCGGCCAAAAGGGTCCAAATCTGGTCAATATCGCCACCACCGACCAAACCACATGGTCGCCGCCGTTGACGAACCTCGCTCCAAGCTCAACTACAATGAGCAGTACAAGAAGATCCTCGAGGGCCCGTGCCCTCTCCACAAGAACAACAAGCACAAGATGAAGGACTGCCTCGGCTTGGCAAAGGGGATATCATCCTGAGTGGTTAGCAAACCCTGTTCTTGTTAAAAAAAATAAAGAATGGAGAATGTGCGTTGATTACACATCGTTCATCACTCCTTTTGGTGCATATTGCTATACCACCATGTCCTTCGGACTCAAGAATGCCAGGGCGACCTACCAAAGGGCCATCCAGATGTGCCTCGATCAACAGATAGGC